CACCTCACTTCATCTCATCAGGTATCATCTCACATCATTACACGAAGGGTAAGTACATTACAATAAGATATTTAGAGACACAGAGATCACATTCACATAACTATTAGTACAGTATGTTGTTATAATTGTTCTATTTCATCATTTGTTATTGTTCTTAACCTCTTACTATGACTAACTTATAAATTAAACTTTATCATAGCTACATATGTATAGGGAAAAAGCATAATATATATACAGAGTTTGGTACTCTCTGTAGTTACAGGCATCCACTGGAGGGCTTAGAATATATCCTCCACAGATAAGGGGGGCTACTATATTTCCTACAGTGAACTCAAGTGATTCTTCTTCTAGTCTATTAAAATTACCTTTTAAAAATTTAAACCATCTCATAAACACTGATTAAATTCCCAATTACTTTTCATCACACACAGAAATTAAATCCAAACTCCTTACTGGGGGCTGTCAGATACCGAAAACATCTGGTGGCTGCCTATCTATATAACTTTATTTTACTCATTTCTCTTTCACTGCATTATCCTTGTTGTTATCTCACTGCCTATATCTTATGCCTGCCACACTCTTCTCTCAGATTTTTAGCTACAAAATTTACTCTCCTCTTCCTCAGGTACTCTCTAACTCGTCATTCCAATTTATTTTTCTTCAGCAACCCTCTATGAAATTATAACATATATTCTATTGGTTTACTTCTTTAATGATTGTCTCCCACATAAGAATAAAAGCTTCACATGGGTAGAGACTTTATGTGAACATGCTGAATGGTACTTGACCCAAGTTGTATTTAAATAAATTCATGGATTAGTGAATGAATAACTGTGTGTCAAAGATGCCCAGATGCTTCAATTGATATTTAAAATATATTTCAAGATTTTAGAAATATCAAATATGGGAGAAATCTTGAGAGACTATTAGAAAACTGTGGACTCAAAATAATAAAACAAATTGGCTGATTGTTTTAGGTCACCATCACAAAAAAAAACAAAAACAAAAACAAATAATTTAGGTATCCACCTAGCATAATTCATTTAATTTTATTCTTTAATTCAACTGGCCAAATTATAATGTCTCTTTCTTAGGACAGATATTTTAATTTCATGAGGTAAAATGTATTTTGTCATTTCAGGCAATGTAAAATTTCAAAAGGAGATTCTGAAATACACTTCGATCTAACATAATTTAAGGGAAGTTAGTATATAATTTCATAATATATATGGAAAGTCACATAAAAAAGACTACTTAAAAATTTTTGAAATTTTGCTCTATTTACCTAATCACTCTAAAGAGGTGTTATCAAAGAAAAAAAATATAGAAAGAATTAACCAAGACATAAACATTAATTTAATAGGAAATTAATAAAATTATCTGCAGTTTCTCTTCTTAGCAGGCAGTGGTGACAAAGATGGAGTTTCCTATCATTATTTTTATTGGAGTCTTTTGTAGGGTAAATATAAGCTCCTTCTTTGAAATTTTATGGAAAATGAGGACATGTGAGAAGCATAGCACAAAAGTTTTTTTGAAGCATCCTCATTTACCATGACAGCTATTTCTATAAATCCAGCCAACCTCATCCATTGGAGCAAGTGCTACTTCAAATTACCATAATTTTAAAAGACTAATGAGATTGTGGTACAGCAATCCTTCTTAATTTCAACTTCTACTCACCAAAACATCCTTTGATATTTTTCCTGAATTTTCAAATAAGTGATTACTCTTTTTTAGAGAAATATGTTTCTCTAAACAAAATGTTCAAAACAGAACCATGATATTACTGGAAGCTTAATCATTCAAGGGTGCTGAAAATCTTGACTCGACATCAGATATGAAATTAACCCCAAATCAGAACAAATCCCAAAGGACTTTTTGTTTGCCATTAGATAAAAAAATATTTAACTTAGTTAAAAAAAAAAAAAAAAAACTAGTAGTATAGAACTAAGTCATAAGATATTTATTTCTACATGACATATTAAAAAAGTTTTTAACTTGTACAAAATATTAGCAATTTAAATTTTTATAAATTATTTATTCCTTAACACTTACCATCTTGTTCATATGTTTTATAGTACCAGGATTAATTCTAGGTAACATTCATTTTATGTGAGATACATTCATTCATTTGTTCATTTATTTAACACATTTACTGACTGAACACTGCTGAGTTCTGAAAGTATAAAATGTACAAACTCACAGCTAAATGTGGGAGATGGAGTTCATCTCATATTCCCTCCTTCCTGATTTTCATTAACAATAATTCAACCATATTGGCATTATAAAACACCAAGCTCAAATGATACCTCTTCTGTATATATCCACCTATATACCACTCTGAGCCAATTCTTATTTTTTTTTCTTATAGTATGCATCTTTACCTGAATTTATGTTATGTATTCATTTGTTTATGGGTTTGCAGCCTATCTCTGTTCACTGACTGTGAGCTCCTATGAGCAGGTGATTTTTTTGTTTGTTTGTTTACT